CAGGATCAATTCCTAGAAGTGGAATTGTGCTGGGTCCAAGGGCACACACATTTATAATTCTGTTACACAAGTTGTACCGACTTATACTCCCTCAGACAATTATGTGAGTGCCTGTTTCCTCACCCCTTGCCAACCCAGATGTTACCAAATTGACTTTCAACTGATTTTATACAAATTCTTGACTCACTTAGGTTAGCTTCATCATTAACCTCAAGCTCACCATTCAACAAATATTTATAAAGTACCCACTCTGTGAGGGGGGATGGGTTCCTGAACATCGAGAACGAAGGCACATCAATGAAAAGAGCTGAAATTCAGCAGAGGGGAAAACTGTTTCCAACAGGAGTCCTGAAGGAAGAAGAATCTGACAAAGATCCTGCAGGACACAGGTTTTGGAGAGAGAGGAAGGAGTCCCAGAAGGGAGGCCAGAACAAGCAGTGCGCCAGGACAGAAAAGCCCAGGATGTGGTCAGTTGGCAGACCAACTGAGGAGAGGAAGACAGTGTTCAAGTGGCAGCTCAGAGAGTGACAAAGCAGCGCCTTTGCTTTAAAGGAACCAAGAGTCAGGGGAAAGGACACTGGATTGAGAGAATTCCCACTTCTGACATCAGCCAAATGATCTTGAGAAAAACTAGTTTACCTGGGTTTCAGTTTCCTCACTTGTAAAACAGAGCATTTAGCCCTGAAACCAAATTTTCTGTAGCTGCAAAACTGCGTGTTCAAAGTATATCTTCTGGTGAAGACTAATGTCAGACAAGCAGAACTATGCTGGGAGGGGACACAGGGAATTCCTTAGCCCCGTGTTTCAGTCACTCTAGGCTGACAGCCTGAGTGGGCTCCAAGAAACTCGGGATTACGCAAAGCAGTGTGAAAGCAACCAGGGCCTAGGAAGCCAGGTTCCCTTCAACTCTAAAAACTGTTCCAGCCTCTCCTTCAGTGCTGGATAATGCACGTGTACCTTCACTTCTATTCTGTTTGCCTACAATTCACTCACTGATTTAACACATTCACGAGTACCACCTACTACATCTCAGGCGCTATCCTAGGAGCTGGGCAGACAATGGTTAACAGTACAAAGATTCTTCCCTCTGAGGCTCAATTTCTGTTTGGAAGGGAGAGAGAAAAACAAATTTATAATATGTCAGAGAATGAGGGTAAGAGGGAAGAGTGAAATGAACGTGGGGATGAACTGCTCCCCCCATCGAAATCCTGCTCACTCTCATGCCACATGACTCTGCCATTCAGTCTTCCCAAATTTTTATCCTCATATATACAGAGGGTGCCGAAAAAATGTATACACACTTTAAGAAAGGAAAAAACTGTATTAAAATTGTAATACTCAATATATACTGAAAACAAAAGATGAATACAAGTCATTTGTACACATTTTTTTGGCACCCCCGGTAGTTTGGTTTTTTTCCCTCTGAAATCCTGCAGTGCTCTGTCTCTTGATTAAGCCTCTGCCATTTGTTAACTATTTCACTGTATTGGGCTTGTGTCGCCCAGACTGGAAGCCTCTCGAAGGTGGTACTAGACCAACCTTGGATAGCTACAGCAGGGCTATGCGCAGCACAGACTCAGCAGCTACTTGGTACCTGTTGATTGCTATGACAACACTGCCACTTTGAAATTGGAAATACAGTCTTCCTTTCCCCAACACCCTGGGACTAGAATTTTCAAGGAACATAAAAGAGCGGAATCAAATGAACAAATTAGCTCAACAAAAAAGCAAACTGGGTCTGGTAAAAAGTAGGGATGGCCAGGTGGTCCAGGTATTTGCAATAGGAGCGAATCCTAAAACAAACATTAACCATTAACTAGTCATGGCCAAGTAGAAGGGGTGGAGCCGGAAGGGAGTATCAGGGCAACTCTGTGCCAGCAGTGAGCGGATGAGGATGTGCAGAAGAAAACGGCAGACCCAGAGTCCCTGGCCCACTAAGTGTCTTCCCCTCCTTGCTGGAATGGGTGCCAGGCCCTACAACTCTCCCCCATCCACACACCCAGCTCTGCCTTTGCACACCCTCAGGCACCTCAATGCTTTGCTCCTCACCCCCAAGCTTAAAATCTGCCAAGGGCACCAGAGCCTCCCTCCACAAGGAGTTCCTCTCCCCTTTTATAGCAGAAAATGTGCATGTTGGGGTTCCTTTTTTACTATCAAAACATCTGAGAATTCCCACATGGCATCAGTTGTACTTTCAGTATCCACAACTGGGAAAACAAACAAAAAGCTACTGTGTACACAAATATTCACAGCAGCACTATTCACCATAGCCAAAAGATGGAAACAACCCAAATGTCCATCAACAGATGAAATGATATATAAAACATGGTATATCCATACACTGGACTATTTATCCAGACAAAAAAAAAAGGAATGAAGTAATGACACATACAACAATGTGGATGAACCTTGAAAACATGCTAAAGTAAAAGAAGCCAGACAGAGAAGGCCACATATTGTTATGGTTCCATTTATATGAAATATCCAGAACAGGTAAATCCAGAGAAAAACAGATTAGTAACACCCAAAGATTGGGGAGAGGGAACAGGAGGGAGTGACTGTTAATGGGTCTGGGGTGTCCGTTTGGGATGATGAAAATGTTCTAGAACTAGATGGTGGTGATGGTTGTACAACACTGTGAATGTACTAAAAGCCACTGAATTCTACATTTAAAAATGGTAGATCTGATTTTATGTGACGTGTATTTTATCACAATAAAAAAGGTACTATGAATCCAATAAACTTAAAAAAAATTGTATCTTACTAATCTCTAAAAATATAACTTGGAAAACAGGAGCTAAGAACACTGAAAAACAAAACCACACATACATATTTAAACACTTATTCACTCCCCTAACAATGTTTGGTGTGAACATAGTCTCAGAATTCCTACCCAACTGCAGCTAATAATAATGACAATAATGGCAAACATTTATTAAACGAGGCACTGCTCTAAGTACTCACATTTAATCCTGTAAGATGATGAGCAACCTTTTACACAAGATGAAACAGGCACAGAAAAAGTTAAGTAACCTGTCCAAGGAGAAGAGCCAACAGGTGGCAGAACCTCGGAACTTGAATCTTGAAGCCAATCTTTTCAGAATGTCTGTTCTTAGTCATAGCTCCATGGACTCAAAATGCACACCCCTCCTCTTCATTTGGGCCCAGTCCATTCTCTCTTTCACTATCTATCCTCCCTAAACATCATTCCACAACGGAGAACCACCTGCTCAGCCTTTGCATGTGCAATACTCCACCTGAAGCACCTATCTCAAGTGCTGCTCTCATGCCAGACGCATGCCTTCTCTCCTCTTTGAAGGTTATGCTGGGTGGAAGGAATGGGTTCTTCACAATCTGCTTTAACTGTTCTTACAACTTGCATCAGTGCCTGCAAACACTGACTGAGAGCCCATTTGAGCCTCAGAACAACAACAAAGAACTACTCAGCAAAACCAAAGGTGCCTTGTCTGCTGAAGAACAACATGAAATGCAAACCTATGAACCACAAGGCTGGACCATTTTGTTGGGCCAGCACAACTTTTTCAACTGACAATGTAACCTGAATGCCTTCCCCGGAACCCAACCCCAGTGCGCCATGCTGCTGCTTGTTATTATCTTGTGACCTGCTGCTCCAGGCATGTAAGATACCCTGACCTAGCCATTCATCGACTCACTCATCTCTCACTCCCAATGATTTTTCTTCCTACCACCATTCTTGCACACACAGTAAATCATGGCTGGAAAAGATACCAAGATGAATCAAAGGGGAATACAGACATTTGAATATTGTTTTTTAAACAGTTCATTTCACTTCTGAGGATTAAAAAAAAAAAGTCCTATATAATTTCAAAGGCAGAAATAGCCCTAAAATTGAAATAACTTCAAATCATAGCATAAAATTTAAAAACTTCTATAACAAGTGTTCCTACTCAGTACTCACACTTCTAATCAGGAAGGGGCCCCAGCAGAACAGGACCCAGCATAACAGAGGGTCACGGTCACCGCTGGCAGTCCCAACCCCAGTGATTTCTGAGAAAAGGTTGGGGGCCTTTGTTTTAGGTTTACATTTAAATTTCAACAGCAAAGTAATATATTTAGTGTGTGGGTTATTTCTGTTCAGCTTACCACAATGCTCAAGTTCAGGGAAGAAACACCAAAAATGAAATGGAAAGGTTATGGGATGAAATGCTAACTGAACACGTTGTGTATTACCAGGACAAAACAAGGGGTGTCACACTTATCCCAAAGCTTTAGCTCTCTAAACTAGCAGCCAGTGGGTCGCTGGTTGTCTTAACAAGCAAAAAGTCCACAGCTGTGCCGTGCAAAACCAAAATAGCACCCAGCATACTACAAGAACTGAGTTAATATTTACAAACTGTGGCAAAGTAATACAAGGGTCTTATTTGGGGCAGGGGGTGGGGGTGGGGGTGGAATGGGGGAGTGGTGAAATAAAGGTTTTTACGCTCTTGGGAAAAAACCTTTTTTATTAAGTCAAAAGCCTAGAGTACAAATATTTACATTTAGTAAGAATCAAAATAGAAAGAAACCTTTAAATTAAGATGTTCTGCCATCAACCAACCATTTTCCACAAATGACAACTTTAGGCCAACCTGAATAACTGAAAATTTGTATGTAAATTTTTGCTTTCTTAATCACACTTTAAAAGTACAAAGGAACCACATTATTTAAAGAAGCTCAAAGGAGAACTATTTTGTAAAATACTGTTTTTCCCCCAATGAAAATAAACCTCTAAAACCTCTATATATCTCAGGTACACTGAGGTTTCTTAAAGGGATCACTTGTGCAAAGGTAAAAATCACACAAAAAGCAAATCACCTTCTCTTCTATTCTTTGGTCTTTGCTGCACAGACACAGACCCAGACCCAAGCTCCAGGCTCATTTCACTGTAGAAATGTAGGCCATACAAGAAAGAAATAAAATAATTTTTAGATGTAAGAGGCAACGGGTTAAAATGTCATCGAACAGTACATAGTACTTACTGCTGGTTCAACTTGACTTCGATCTGCAATATCTATGTGGACAATTTCAACAGTTTTCCATGTGTTTGGATCTAAACCGTGTACCTGTAAGTGAAAGAAAAGCGAAACATAACAAACTGTAGACTATTATTGCTAGGCAAAACTTTTACACTTACATAAACATAATGTTTACCTTGAGTCTCTCAGAGTTCATTATGAGGACTAAAAAATCCAAATTGCTATTTCATTAAATTAGCTGTCTGAAGCTTAGAGCAATCTAGAAATCTTTTGTTACCCCCCTGAAACCCTAAAATAATAAGGAGATAGGTGGGGGTGAGGACGCTTCCAAATTCACAGAAATCTGTCAGCATTATTTTCTGGTAGTCCTTAAAGATGATTTATTTAACATAATGTATCTGACCCATGTTTAACCCAAATGATACATGACAAAGTCCTTGTAGCCTCCAAATTCCAGACAAACATAAAGTGACATTATAATTAGATTGCAAGAAGCTGCACTGCATGGTCTTAAACATCTCCTGAATCTGATTATCCTAAAGCTATTCAGTTTCAGTATGATGTCAACTTCTCTATGCTTCATGTTGTTCCATCATTTATTTTTGAAACTCCATCTATGAACCAATTAAAATTGTTTTAAAACTGCCAAAGATATACCCATTTCAAAGCTGAAAATAGTAGACTAAATCATACACAGACTAAAGCATACTAAATCATCTCAATTACTCTAAACTTTAGAGTTACTATGAAAAAAACAACATGAAATATCAAATGATCACCTGGAAGAAAACCTCAAGTCAAAATATGTACTATAAATTATAATCCAAAAGTTCTACTAATTGGCATCAATAGCATAAAAACATAGTAAGGACAGAATCGACCACAATTACCATTAACTTACTCTCCTATTTAAGTGTAAGGTTGGAACAGTTCTCAAATGCACACCAGAAAACAGATTGCTGGGCCCCATCCCCAGAAGTTCTAATTCAGTAGGTATGGGGTGGGGCTTGAGAATTTGCATTTCTAACAAGTTCACAGATGCTGCTGCTGGTCCAAGGGCCATACTTTTGAGAACCACTGGGCCAAGAGCATCAACCTATATACTAGATGCCCTCCCATGTTCCCCCTCAAGCTTACCAAAAGTTAATGATTACATTGAGTCCTAACTGATTTTCTTGAAATTTATTTTAGGGATAAATGTGCACCAACTTGTAAAAATCAAGAGCTTGTCAACATTTTGGTAAATTATTCCAAGTACCTTCTCTTTCCTGCCTTTTGGCCATATCTCTGACATCAACCTACATCCCAACTACGTGGAATGAAGGTGAAAATTAAAGCAACCAGTTTTGCTACAGAGAGCAGCTCTGGCAAATAGAGACAAAAAGATGAAAGAAATCTAAAATTAAATGACTAAAACTGGTTTGGGGATTATCTGTGAATTTTGTTAATCTGTGCTCTCCCTGTCCCAGAGAAAGAGTTGCTGATTAAAAATAAAGGCAACCTTGGCCGACCGAGTTAGTTAAGAGCTTGCTCAAGAGTACGAGCTCTGAGCAACAGGGTCGCCAGTTCAATTCCCACATGGGCCAGTGGGCTGCACTGGAGCTGAGCTGCCGCTGAGCTGCCAACATGTGGCAGGCTCAGCTGCTGAGAGCACGTGCTCCTAACAACAAGGTTGCCTGTTCAAGATAGTGGGCTCTGCCCACCCGCAACTAAAGACTGAACTCGACACCTTGAGCTGAGTGGCGTCACTGGACTTAGAGCTGCGCTAGCTGCGCCCTCCACAACTAAGATTGAAGGACAACATCTTGTCTGTTCCCCTCCCCCAATTAAATCTTAAAAAAAAAAAGCAACCTCACCAAAGTCTACTCACACACCAAGGCAAGAGGATTAACTGGGAAAGCCCATTGTTTCTGGTTGCTCGCTTGCTTCTCCGCAATCTGACACACCAGGGGTGGCCAGGTGCTAGTCTAACGCAGGTGGCATCACTTTGGTGATAACAAAATGGACTACGGTATTCTCATTTCCAGGTGCTTCCGCACTGAAAGCCCAGAGGTGAAACTTACATTTTCTAATGTTCCCAAGTCTGGTTTGTGCCATGTTTCAATTTTAATGAAGAAATCATCTTTCATATATTCATTCTGTGGAAAACACAACAGCAAAATGACAGTGATCTTTCACTGGTTCTTTGTCTGCAGGAGCCGTCCTCAGCATAAGCATCCATGCTTTGACTCTACAAGCCTGATCCTCAAGCGACAAAGATTCATTACCTACCTATTTTTATAGACTTGTCAGGCAACCCAAATGCTGCCTGCCTTTTAAATAATTTAAACAACCCTACTTGTCATGCAGTATACAGGGCTAATATTAAAGAAGCTGTGAGGTTTGGTGAGCAAATCTGACATTCAAAGGAAGTAGCAAAAGCAAAATAAAATCAACAGGGAGATTTTGAGACAGGCTTAGAAAGAGCGATTAACACTGGGAACATGGGGTGGGAGTGTGGGCTGCCAGAAGCAGCACAGAGAAGGAGCCATGCAGCAGTGGGCAGTTTTAATAAAAAAGCAAGGAATAGCTGAAAATAATTACTATGTAAAGCACAGCTTAAAGATGGAAGAGCAAGTGACACAAAAAGTTTTACTCACCGTTACAACTGAGGCGCAATGGACAGGTAGGCAATAAAAGGGGGGGGGGATTTCAGAATATTAATTGAAGTCAAAACAATCTGTCACAATATTTAATATCAAAAAGATTAAACTACCTGAAAACAGAACATTAGTTTGTCTGCAAAACAGTTTTTACACAAGTCACACTATAAGGTACATTAGATTATGGAGTCAGTAATCTCATTTTAAAACAATGGCAAAAGGAATAATGTTACAAAAGCAAAAATGTCACTTATAATACTAACTTAGCAAACAACAGAAAACTGTTTCCGAAGTCTGCCATATTGCTCTATTACATGGCAATACTGTTGAAACTACACCAGAAGACACTTCTGAGTGTGGATGGCCTTTCTTTAAGGTTTCTGCATAGGCATACCTCAGATATTGCAGATTCAGTTCCACACCACCCTCATAAAGCGAGTATCACAAAAATGTGAGTTGTAATCTTTACTGGTGGAGGGTCTTGCCTTCAATTTGTAAAAAAATGCAGTATGAAGTACAATAAAGTAAAATGCAGTAACATGAGGTGTGCCTGTATTCCATTCATCTGCTCACCCCTGCAGCCTATGCCGCCATCAGCAAGACCTCCACTGACTGTCATCTGGAAATGAACCCATGCCCCTCACAGAGGTGTGGGAGGAAGAGCCCAATGCAGCCTCTCTTCTGCCACAACGTGTGCAGTGACTACCCGAGAACCCACAGAAAGCCCTGCTTGGTGTCCCCCTTGTCAAAGGCATTGGCACTGTGTGTCCCTCTGCTCATTCAGGGTGGAATGGCTGCTGGAAGCCAGGCTTACTTGTTCTACAGTAGGGGTACGCGTTCCAGGCTTTCTCGTGAAATACCAAGGAGCCTTCGGGAGCAATCATTCTCACAAATGCAGGAACTTTGCTGGGTGAGGAGAGAAAGATCAGATATATTTTCAATAGCACCATAGCTTCTTTATTGGCATCTATCAGACTACGTCAAAGAGTACTCTAATCAAAGGTGATTATGTTCTAAGTTCACGAGCTCATGTCCAAGACTGTTAGCAACAGCTTTTTATTCCCAAAGTAATCAAGTGGAAAATGAATGTAATGTGAAAATAAGAAAATGATTAAGAATATGATTAACCATAAATAGCATTTTTTTAAAAAACAGAAGCAATTCTTTGTTATGGGCCCCAGATCTACATCCCTCATGTGAAATCTAAGAGTTAACTGTAGCTATTCAACCTGCACATAATACAATACAGTCATGTAGCTAGACTACACTACACTGTGTTTCTTAATATTTAAAAAAACAAGCCTCAGTATAAGGAAGTGTCCCTAAATAAAAGTCTTTTAATACATTCTACAGAATAAACCTAAAGAAAAGTGACAATGTGAAGGACTCGTGTAGAAATGAGATACCAAAACATATTCAAGTGTAAAATGTTAAGTTTGGAAGATGAATGTCACCTGCTGCGTAAGTATGGTCAGAGAAGGGTTAAATATATAATATATGACGAGCTTGTGCAAATTCTAAGATAATCAGGAAAGATCCCAACAGATAAAATGGGCAAAAGATATGCACAGACATGCATGTTACAAATAGAAAACACAACTAGTTAATGAACAAATGGATAAATCAGTTTCACCAGTCTTCAAAGAAATTCAACTGAAATAACCATTTTTGATGATCATTTCATTATGTAAAAGCAGTTTTACATGCACAAGATTTTCACAGATTGGATTCAAATCCCAACATCACCACTTGGAAGATGGGTGACCATGGGCATATTAATGGGCTCCCTGAACTCCTCATGTGTTGAATGGAGTTCACATGACCTACTCTGCAGAGTTATTGAGAGGATTCAACCAGATAATATCTGTAATGTGTTTAGCACATTGCACAGTTCAATAAATGGTAGTTACAGCTTTTTAATTATAAGCTGACATGGAGCTGGATACTTTCAGATGTCTTTCTTCATTTAAATCCCCCAATAACATTGAGGTAAGCATTAATTATTTCACACAATCAGTATTTAAGTGGCTCAATAACTGCATGCCAAAACTATATCCTGTAACTACAAGCCCTATTATATATTTTTTTCCCGTATCAGAGCTGCTTCTCTGAGAACTCTGAAGCACAGCTTAATTTCCTAACTAAGAGAAAGAACAAACTAAGGGAAACTGGGACCCAGGATGGACTTCTGGCCCCATCAGACTTAGCAGTTGACCAGGGACAAGATGTAAGGAACCCCATACCAGCCAGAGAGCTGTGCAGTTACAGAAGAGGTCGTGTGGACAGCCCTTTGGTTGTCTCCTCAGAACATAAGAGCAGGTACATGATTTGGAGCTTCCACTACTATGGCAAATTAAATCACTAGAAAAGAAAAACTGAAGTATGACTATTACATATGGCAGTACAAGCGCAATTCCAAAAGCATAAAAAGATTCACCTGCACCTTTACATCCTTAAAAGATAGTAATGAAGGAGGGCTAATTCTTTGAGCACTCATTCTTTGCAAACGTTGGGAAGATTCATGCAAAGAGGTGTTGTATAAAACAAGAAACCAGGATAACTGAAAATACTATCACACTGAAAGCCAAACAATATCTAGCAATAGAAATTATTTCTTCCATTACTGAAGAACTGGAACCAAAATCCCTTTAAATGTGGGGGAGGTGTAATCAAGGTATAATGTAATATACGTGGATAATTTGTTTCCAAATACAAGCTACAAGATCACCTATCAATGTTTTCTTTGGTCAACTTAGAAAAAGGCAGGAGAAAAGTAGCTGTGTATTAGCTCAGAAACATATTTTAACACTATCCTATTTATTTCTAGGGTGCCCATATTCTAAAAACCTTAATATTCATCAAAAGTTCTAAAATTTACTGACCCAAACAGAAGAAAATTGGTAGTCATGAAAGGCTATCAAGAAGGCCATCAAGAGCCAAATCTACAAGAAAGCTTTAATATTTCTTCATCTTGCTCCCAAACTACCTTATTAAGTCTTATTTTCAGGATGCTTTTTTCCACTATGTGAATCCCAACAATTCCTTATATGTTTTGACTTATTAAGGAACAACCAAACCTTGGAGCCAGTTTTGTTTCCAATTTACTGGCTTTTTGCATTCAACATGAGAACATTAACAAAGGCATCCGTCCTGAATGAATCTAAGTAACCGATGAAACTTGGGGAAAATGCATAAATGGAGTGAATAACATTCAATTTCAATTCTATTTTACAGGAGAGGAAGTTTCACTAATGGCAACTTTAATATATTCCTAACAATACTGTTCTCCAACCTTGGTATCACTTAGGAAGACACTTTAATTAACAAAATGGAGCTAGGCCTTCAAAAACAAACAAAATAAAGACATTCCTCTTCGTTCTCTCAAACTACTCATGAGATGTTCTCATGGTGAACCAACACTCATGACAGTTCTGACCTCTAGGTAAACATACCTAGATTTCAGCTGTTTAAGAGTTAGCCATAGCATAATGCCCAAGAGCACAAAGGTCTTTGCCAATGCAGAGCCCTCCCCACACCTGAAGGTTATTTAAGAATATTTAATTGTCACTTTGCCAGGGGTGAAAAGGGAAACTAGTGCATTGTTTTTTACACCTGAAACTAATAATAATTTAAAAAATAAAAATAAAAAAGAACATTTAACTGGGAAAATTTAACCAAAGTGTTTTATCAATTGTTTTGAGAGGAGATATTAAAATCTAACCTCCACATTGCTGAATGGTTGTGAAGCTGTCTGTTTTGCGGTAAGATAACTTTGTCACAGTGATACAGGAAAACAAAGGGCTAACATGGCTTAAAATATAGATAATGAAAGACCATAATGTACACTGAACTTTCATCTAGGAGCAATCTTTTTTTTAAAAAAAAAAATCTGTTTCTGAGATAAATAATACCTTGGTAAATGATTTTAAGCTGTACTTTTCCCATGAAATTTTTTTATCTACTTATAAACAAAATGAGTTAAACTGTCCAAAATTCCACTTTTCCATCCTTCTCCATCCTACTGTGGATAAACATCAAAATGCAGAAAAACACAGAGAAGAAATTCAAGACCAAATTAATTTGCCATACATAAAAATAAAGCAAGTCAACTTTCATTTTTGAATCAACTGAAACACACCTAAAATCCACAGGGCACCTCATTCACTCAAGTACTTACTATGTGTCCAATGTACCAGAGATGTGTAAATAATAGTGTGCAAACAAGGACAATCTCCACCCAGATCTCACCTTCCAGCGAGGGAAACAGAAAACACTGGTCAACAACAAAAGGCAAAGAATGACCTGTCCTGAAAGGCAGTGAAGTTGAGGAACAGCGCACTGGCGGTGAGTACCTGGGGCAAGCGTGCTCAGGAAGGCCTCCCTGAGAAATGACATTACAGTGGTGACCTGAGGATAAGGAAGGCCAGCCACATGAAGAGATGGGGCAAAGGTCCAAGAAGAGCAAAAGATATCACCTGCTTGGGCCACTGTGAGGCCTCCAGCACAGCTAGACCGTAGTGAACAAGGAACAGAGAGACACAAGTTGAGGATGGTGAAGCGGGCAGGGGGCAGACAGCTCACAGGGGCCCATCTTACAGGCCAAAGTTTGGATTCTATTCTTTGTATGATGATGTTACTGAAGGCTTTAAGAAGGGGGATAAAACAGCCTGCTTTAAGATCATTCTGGCTTTGTGTGGAAGATTAACAGCAATGAATTAAAGATCTAAATGTAAGAGCTAAAACTATAAAATTCTTAGAAGAAATATAGATGTAAATTTTTGTGACATTGGGTTGGGCAATGAAGACAAGACATGAAAAGCATAAATAACAAAAGAAAAAAGAGGTAAATTGGACTTCATCAAAATTATACACTTTTTTTTTTAAAGATTTTATTGGGGAATGGGGGAGGGGAACAGCGCCAGAGAATCGGAGAAGGGGAACAGACAGGTAGACAAATTGCTGTTTTGTTCTTCTGTCTAGTTGGGGAGGACGTCACTTCACTGGCCCACGTTGGTATGATCATTGCGCTCTTCCTGGGTGAGGCAATCGGTCGCCGGTCATTGGTCGGCCGTGGTCAGCCGCTCACGGCGGCTCACAGCAGCTCTTGCCTGCTGCCGGGCACTCACGCTGGCTGCCAGCCACTTACGTAGCTCACGGCAGCCCACTGCAGCCGGCGCCGGCGCCTCACAGCAGCCCAGCTCCAGGTTGCGCTGTTGTTCATCATCTTAGCTGTAGAGGGCGCAGCGTCACTGGCCCTCAATGTGGGATCCGAACTGCGGCCCTGCTGCTCAGAGCTGGCGTTCCCAAGCGAGCTCTTAACCAGCTGAGCCACTCGGCCGGCCCAAAATTATAAACTTTTTTAAGTTTCAAAGGGCACTACCAAGAAAGTGAAATGACAGCTCACAGAATGAGCAAAAAAATTTGCAAATCATGTATCTGATAGGGAACTAGATAGATCTAGGATATACAAAGAACTCTTACAACAAAAGGGCAGCCCAATTAAAATTAGGTGAAAGATTTGAACAGATATTTCTCAAAAGATCTATAAATCACCAACAAGCATACGAAAACAAGCTCAATATCATTAATCAGCAGGGAAATGTAAATCAAAACCACAATAAGACACCACTTCTCACCTATTAGAATGGCTACTACAAATAATTAACGAACACAACACAAGAAAAGAACAAGCATTGGCAAGGATGTAGGGCATTCATACCCTGTTGGTGGGCATATAAAATAGTGCAGTCACTTTGGAAAACAAGTCTGGCAGGTCTTCAAACATGAGCTAGCATATGGCCCAGCAATTCTGACTGTAAGTATTTTTATAGACAGAGGGTATCAAAAAATATATACACATTTTAAGAAAAGAAAAAAACTGTATTAAAATTGTAATACTCAATATA